CTAGAACTTGGAAGGCTATTTGAAGGATTCTAAGGAGAAAAAAACTGTACAAGGTAGGACCGGCATGCTGCTGAGACTGTTTGAGGCAAGCCAGCGAGAGCCTATCACGGTTAATGCTTGTATCCTAAGGGTCATACGAGAAGACTGCAGAGGTCACGAAGACATCCCGAAGAGCCGGAGGTGCGACCATGCTACAGCCTTGTTGTTTGTGGACAAGGTGGCGAAAACAGGGGAACCCGCCACGCTAGTCAGCAGTCGGTTGTGCGCCGATATGTGCAAGAATCTAACATTGCCGCGTAGGCTTGGACCATCAGGTTTGGTAGAGGCGATGGCCGGCGCGATCGGTGCAATTCATATAGAGACAAGAAGACAGTGCGAAGGTATTCACCTAAGCGGGAATGCAAGTAAGTTCTTTGATAATAATAGTGCTGAAGAATAAACAGTTGCATATTATGTAGCATGTGAATGCTGGGAAGCGGACTATAGTGAGTAACGCGTCGTAGTTACAGATGACGTGGTGGTACGTATGGCTATGGTGTTAAACCTTGTGTTAAACCTGTCTACGAATGAGGACATGGCGATTTCCGCAGTAGGAGGCCTTTCTAGCATCTTGTGTTTATGCCCTCTCACTTCTCTATACCTAACCTGATATTAATTTGCCCGCCTTGCACACCTTATTTGACCCCAGGTTGCGCCAGGGTTATTTTCTAAATCATCAGCTAGTGTAGGGGGGAGGGGCATGCTCAAGTTAGCAGTGAGTAATCAAAGGGTATTTGGGTTAATGGACACGTTTGTATCTGGGACGTAGAGGAATCAAGTCTGCCTGGAACAACTTAGCTGACGATGCATCCTGTCATTAATACAAGTTGGTTCATGTTTTGCGTCGGCATTGTGGCCAAGTGCTAGTTATACTGATCATACTTGCTGAAACCAGTAAGTGGCAAGCTGCAGTGCGGCCTGAACGTACATGTAGAAATGTTAACCTAGTATACAGTCATAACCTATATGGGCAGTTTAGTAGGCTGAAGGATTAAATAAGGAGTATTTAATAATAGCTCAACATCTACCAAGAATAAAGTTGTGACAAAGTAGCATATGCCATACTTTAGGGATATTACTGTTAGAAGTGCTGTGCCTATGCTAAGAGTGCTACTTCTAGTAATTATGCTTACAAAAGTCAGCAGTAATATATTTTAGTACGGCCTGTGTGTACGTTTTGAGCAGTCGGCACCCTGTGTGCACTCGCAATCTTTATGAAGTAAGGTAATAAGCTTATGGGTTAAATACAGCGTTTTTGAATAATAGCAATAGTCCTACCATGCATTAGCATTGTAAAATTTGCCAACTGTGGAGTACCCATAGGCTTATTACAGTATCTAGACCTAGCTTTAACTTTACAGAACGTTAATTCATATCCCCTTCTTCCCATCAGGGAGTGTGAATCTGGGTTTATGCTAGATCACTTATATGCTTGAGGCCCGGAGTACATCAGGGGTCTCTTTTCTTTCTTTACTTGCAACTCTATCCACAAGGATGTGTTTACTTATTGGTTAATGACTTTTTATTAAGCAATAGCTCAAGTTTTACCATGCCTTTATTTCGCATTTTTAA